CACACACACACACACCCTCTCTTTAGCACCCGGCTCCAGAGAGTCATCCTGGTGGGAGATGGGGTCAGGCAATTAAAGTGCTCCCCGGCTCCCCTGCCACTCCTCCATCCTTTTATCCCCTCCATGCCTCTGGCTTCACATACTCTCCTCACTGCTCCTCGGTGAAGCCGGAGGAGGAAAAGCTACAGATCACACAGGGATCCAAAATAATTACCCCACAAAACTCGGCCCTGCATCTACTCTTTTATACACAAACAAGCACCCAGGGAAAGGCCATTATTACTTATGCATAACCTGAACGCGATCTTAAGAGCTGATAAAGTGAGTACAAGGCGCTGTGGAGTGGTAGGAAAGTAAAAGTGTCCAACTAAGCAGTAAACGATACAGACAGAGAGAGAGAGAGAGAGAGAGGGAGTGAGAGAGAGAGAGAGGCAATAAAAGAGGGGGAACCATGTCCTCACGATGCACAAGTAAGCTATTTTTACCTCTGCACAAGTGTTGTTTACCCAATGAATTGAGAGCATGCGAGAGCTCTTAATGTGAGAGCATGTGTGTGTATTTGCATGTGCGCGGGACAAAAAGGTGACGCAGACAGTGGCGCGAGTCTGCACCCCACCCCCCAACCCTGCTGCACGTCACTTTTTATCACGTCAGTGCCGCTGTGACCCACTTCCAGCGGCCACTCCCTCCTCAACTCTGCTCCACTCGCCGTTTCCCTCTCTTTCTGTTTCATTACATCCCTCTTTAAAAGCATCCCTCTGCTTTAACTTCTCCATCCATTGTATTCATTTTCTGCTCTTATGAAGTGTGCAGCTATTTTGAGACTGGTCTGTTGGTTTTTTAGGGAGGGGTATTGTTTCTCACAACTTTTACACACTGAAAGCCAAGCTCCCCCGAAACTTGTGCAATCCTCTAGAGGTCATGACATCTACTTGTTCTTCTTTGTCTTCTACTATGCTCCAAACATCCCATCCCCATCTGTCCATTACAGCTCTCTTTTCTTTTGCTCCATGCCATAGTTACTCAGCAGCATCACACCGTTTGCAAGTTTTTTTCAGGAACTTGGAAATAAACAATTCTTCATCCAAAATGCAAACAAAATATGCAGAACTAAAAACTGCATAAGAAGGTGATAACCACAGTGTTTTTGAAGATCTGCATAATAAGCTTTAAAGCTCACTCTTGATGTTCAAAATAGTAGTTTGACAAAATCTTGGCATCCACTAACTTTTGAGTCTTCATCAGTGGATCAAGTTTGTTCAGTTGTCATGGGTAGGAAAACCATATGCAAGGGAAGACTGTGATATGGTTGAAAGACAGGAAATGCTTTCCAAGGGATTTGTTAACAATAGCAAAAAATATAGTATGTTACCAGCTTTATCCTTTAAATACCATACAAACCAAAATGGAAACCAGTGGCTACCTGGAATGGTAGGAAAAGTACATTCACATTTCATAAATGCGAAAACATGGTTTGGTTTTAAGTGTTCACTTTGTTTATGTGTTTAGTACGAGCGGTTTGCAGTAAATGGGCCAAAAAATGTTCCAATATGAGTCTCTTCCTTACATTTCTATGAGCCTTTCCTACATTTGTTCTTTCTCTGTCACACCCTCTCTATATACGTTTCAACTCCCAGTATGGGGCAGTGGGTGGGGATCGAGGCAGGCCACTCTTTGAGGAGCAAATAGGCAGAAAGCGTTAGCAAACATGCTGATAAAAGGTGCTGCATTTTACACTGGGCATTTAGCTGATACTGGCGGGAAGGTTTAGAATGCGATTAGAGCAAAACCAGCCTCCATGCTGTTGACTCCAAGGTCTTTGCTACATGAAAGTAGCTTTGGTAAATTCGTATGGTTAAAAAGGACCAGGCTTCCCATATGTTTTCAAGTCGGATCCCACGGCCCATAGAAGCCTGCAGTGAATTGAAATCACTCTGCTTTTATTATTCCTGGCTCGGCTCTGGCTTTCATCTTCTATTCACAGCTGTATCGCAGTGTTTTAGCACAGAGACATGGATATTCTCTCAGCGATGTGTGTATGTGTGTGTGGATGAGTGCTTGTGTGCAGCATTTATAAGATAGGGAATGGATGTGGGTTGCATGGGTACCTAAGGTGACTATGTGTGTGTGTGGGAGGGAGGGAGGGAGGGAGGGAGAGCAAACGAGAGGGTTTGTACGAGAGAGGGGATTTTTAAACCCATCTGTGATTATACTGTATGTGTGTGTATATGTGTGTGTGCGCTCAAGGCAGGAGGCTAGGTCAATTACCTCAAGATGTTGAAGAAAGAGGAGAAACAGTCTAAACAGTCTCTCTCTCTTTCTCTTTTCTCCGCACCAACACCCAAGTCAAAGCACAGTGAATTCCATGAAATCTGATCTCACTGGCTCCACAAAGTCTTATTTATCATACAAAAACATCTCCATTAACCAGCAACTTTCGAAAAAACCTCTAGAAAAATCGAAGTATCTGACTGAGGCCCACCTTAACAACCGAAAAAAAGGAGGGAAAGACGGAAAACAGAGGGGGAAAAGGGATGTGAAGAGAGAAAAAGAAACAAAGGAGAGAGGCACCATGGGCTCTAGTCAGAACTTGGTGCCAGCCGGGTTTGAGGGAAAGGAAGAGTTTGATTGCTGTTACATTAGGCTTAGTTAACCAAGTTTTTTGAGAGTCCAAGTAGCTGGTTTTGTCTGGCCATTGACAATCCAAACAGAAAATGTTTGCCATTTTTGAAAAAACTTTCATAAAATAACTAATCGACTCACTTTTCTGTCAACTGACCGTTCACTCTAGGCGCCTACTCCTCTTTGTTTCTGTCGTCTGTCAAACTGTCCATCCCAGCACTGCACATTGAGTTTACAATGATAAGGGTGGCAGATTTACCCTCCAAACCCATAGAAACCTCTTAAAAAACGGGTCTTTGAGTTCACACAAAAGTGAAACAAAAGCAAGGCTCTCATTTCTAGCCATCGACCATCGATTTCATCGGCTTCAAATGATGACCGATGACGCTAATGAATGCTAACTTGGAGAGTTGGTTTAACACGCCATCTCCAGCTGACTTTCTAATGTTTCCAGCTGACTCATTTAAAAAGAAAACCATGTAAAACTGCTTCACTTTTTACAAGAGACAGGGATGAGGGCTAACCAATGAGTTTGGAAAATGTAAGGCTGTCTCGGGTGAAGAGTTTGGCATGGGTTGCCGGGGTGGAAACTTCCTCCAAAAAAAACAATGAAAAGCAGGACAGAGATGCATTTGCTTGGACTTAATATTGTAGCATCCAGGACCAGCTACCACACAGTTTGTCGGGCCTGAATAGGAATTTCAGCAAAACAACCTGTATATATAGTGTACTTAGCTAAAGATATGCTCATTGGCATTGGTTAGTGGGGCATGCCAACATTTGAATCTTGAATAGAGCAGGCAAACCAACTGTTTAAATCACTGCTTACATTTTTGGGGCCGTATTTTTGGCTTTGTAAAGGTGATAAAAAGAGACACCACCTTCCAA